GACGCGTCTGCCTCCGCGACCCGGAAGGAGAAGCGGCGATGGAAGATGAAGATGAAGATGAAGATGAAAATGACTTAGCTTTTTCTGGCTCCCAACTGCTTGTTGTGATCATCAATTTAAGCCATTTGCAAAAACACGACGTAGTGAGTTTGTGAGATGTGATGCATTCTCAGGTTATCAACACTTTGCCAGAAAAAACAGGTCACTTCATCGTAAACAAAACTCATGCTTGTCTGCGATCATCCACTTTCTTCATCTTGACAGGTACGTCTCAAGTTCATTGAGTGCCAGTGTTCGCTGCTTCTCTAATTATACTATCGTATTTGTAAATCTAGCTCAGTGAATTATCACTCTCAAAGACATTTAATAATGTACTGTGTTCATAACCCTTTTATATATAAAGTTAATACTATATTTAGTGCTAAGTAACGTTTGTAATTTTTCATTAAAGCTGCAAAGAAAAAGGAGAATTAAGGAAGATCTATTTTATAGAATATTTTTGACATTACAAGTTAACAGAACGTTACTAGCACGTTATTAATGAATTTAACTGGATTATTATTACTGTACTAGGTTAACACGTTTTATTTCCTGTTCAAGAAAAAAATTCACTATTTCAGCGCTTCAGGACTGTGTCTATCAAAGCTGTAACAGATCTCTTAAAATTTATATCATTAGGGAAGTCAAAGTTCCGATATTAATAGTGACTCCGCGACCCGGAAGGAAAAGCGGTCATGGAAGACAAGACGAAGATATTAACAGTGCTTGTAGGTTTGCGAAAAATTTTAGTTTTCTAGACTGGTGCTATTTTTTGTTTCAGTGATTATCAATGCCTAACTCAATATTTTGAGGAGGCTATTAAGAAATTCCACATACATACGTTATTTTTATCACCATAACATTGTAAAATAATAGTAACATGCCCAGGCTCGTTTCAAAGTGTTCTATTAAACTTTTTGGAAAGAGTGGGGATTGCCCATGGGTGCCCTTTTCGTTTGAAGACTCAACCTTCGCCGGAGAAAAATTCGCTCATACCATGCAGAAAGTTATTAAATTTAGGACAGAATCAACTAGAGATTAGTATGTTGTTTACGTTAATTATCTGTTAGAAGATTAACAACG